CACCCCCCCGGCTCTCCCCCAGCCTCTACAGCCTCATTTGCCATTACCGCGAGGTGCCGCTCCGCTGCAACGAGTTTGAGATGCGCCTCACTGACCCTGTCCCCCAACCCAATGCCCATGAGAGCAAAGAGTGAGGACAGTCCCCATCCCCTTGGTCCCCTGGGTCCACCAGCTTCCTCCATCCCCAGTGTCAAGTCTTGGGTGCCTCCCGGGGCATGGGCATGCTGGTACCAGCCCACAGCCCCCATTCTCTGCCCGGACAGGTGGTACCATGCCAGCTTGACACGCCTGCAGGCCGAGCACATGCTGATGCGGGTCCCGCGGGATGGAGCCTTCCTTGTGCGCAAACGCAGTGAACCCAGCTCTTATGCCATTTCTTTCCGGTGAGTGTGGCCACCCTGGCACCCCGAGGACTGTGGGGCTTGGCCACGGTGCCCACGTTGCTGGCCATGCTGAGAACTGCCTGGCTCATGTCTGTTGTGACTCCATGATGGGTGACAGGGGTTTGCTCAGGGTGACACGGTGGGATGCATGATGCTGTCACAGGGGGGACCCCCTAGCTGCAGTGATGGGAAAGCCATGTCTTCAGGGTGGTCACCCCGGTGGCATCCCTGCTGGGGCAGGACATCACCTCCTGCCTGTCCTCATCATGGAGCCAGGATCCGGCCACCCCTCACATATCCCCCACGGCTCTCTCGGCCCCAGGGCAGAGGGGAAGATCAAGCACTGCCGCATCCAGCAAGAAGGTCGGCTGTTCATGCTGGGCAGCTCAGCCGAGTTTGAGAGCCTCGTGGACCTCGTCAGCTACTACGAGAAGCACCCGCTCTACCGCAAGATGAAGTTGCGCTACCCCATCAACGAGGAGACCCTGGAAAAGATGGGCACCACCGTGAGTACTCCTGGCAGTGGGGATGGTGGGGATGGAAGCTCTGTGCCATGGGCAACCAAGCCCCATTCCCAGCTCTACCATGGTGGGAAGGTCTCCTTCAGCCTTTTGGTTGAAACCCAACCAGAACCAGCCAAGCTCGTTCTGTAGCCATTGCCCATGGTTATAAGTCCACCATAATTCCCTTCCAATGAGTTGCAAAGGGATATTAGGTCCCTCTCAACCTCCTCTGAATTACATGTGGTAGCCTGGCTCCCACCACATCCCCTTGTAGCCCCTGCATACATCTGAGTGACCCACTCAGATGTCTCTCCCTGCAGGAGTTGGACTATGGAGCCCTGTACGAGGTGCGGACCCCCCACTTCTACGTAGAGGCCAATAAGATGCCAATGGCCAGGGTAAGGGGCTGAGCTGGTGTCCCTGGGAGGTGGAGGGTGGTGGGACATGACGATTCTAGTGCTGGGGCTCCTGGGTGGTCCCCCCCAAACCCACCACATCTTACACCACTGACCTGAGAAGTGGTGACATTTTGCTGTGTTTTTCTGACCCTCAAGTGATGCTGGAGCTGGATCTTTCCCACACCACCATCACTTGGGGACAGTCCAAGCTCCAGCAACAGCATTGTCACAGCGGGGAGGGGGGACAGGTCTGGAGAGAGCCCAGCCTGAAGCACGGACCTGGCACAAGTTTGCCCCAACAGTAAGGAAACTCCCATGGATCCCTTTGCACTAGGGAACCCCAAAAGAGCAGGTTTAGGGTTAGTTCCCAGGTGGTGCAGTCTCCATCCTCAGAGGTTCTTGGGACTGGGCTGGTCTTGGAGCTGACCCAGTGTCCATCCTCAAAGGTTTTTGGGACCAGACTGGTCTCAGAGCTGACACTGGAGGAGGCTGGACTGGAGCCTCAAGGTTCCTTCCCTGTGATCCTACAATCCCATGCTTCAGCACTGCTGTCCCTTTGCAGCAGAGCAGCTCTCAGGCTAAGACCAGACACGGGAAAGCTTAACCCAAAGGGTTTTTTTCCAGGAAATGTGGGAATAGAAGGGGATTAACCGCTTCAGTGCACCAGGAGAAACCATTGGGGAACTCGGAAGAGGAACCTGCTTTGCACTGAATGTGGTGGTCCTACAGGACCACAGGTGCCTCCAGCCCTCCTGTCCCCTCTCACATAGCTCACTGCTGGCGTGAGGAATCTGGAGGCATCATTTGGGGTGCTGGACCCTCAGGAGCCCTCATGCTCCACCTTGGGGGCTAGAGGAGCTGGGCTGAGTGGGGCATGCTGCCCACCAGTGTCCCCAGCACTGGGTGATGACACGTGTCCCTCTCCCCGGTGCGCCAGTGCACAGTGAAGGCTCTCTACGACTACAAAGCGCAGCGTGAGGACGAGCTGTCGTTCTGCAAGCAGGCCATCATCCACAACGTCGACAAGCAGGATGGCGGCTGGTGAGGGCAGTCAGGTGGCCCCCCGGTGGGCATCGCCATGGGTGGGAGGTGGAGGAGACACCCTGGGTTTTCCCACGGGTTGTCCCGTGGTGGGTTTTAACTACCTCCTTTTCTGTCCCCCCATCCCTTCTCCGACCGCTCCCTGACATTGCATGCAGCATGAACACCCATGTCCCCCCCCAGATCAGTCCGCTTGCCTTGATCCTCTCACCCCTTGCAGGTGGCGGGGGGACTACGGGGGCAAGAAGCAACTGTGGTTCCCGGCCAACTACGTGGAGGAGATTGTCAGCATGCAAGCGCAGGAGCAGGATGAGGCTGTGAGTGTCATGTCCCCACACACCTTGGACCAAGGCCACCCGAGATACTCCCAGTCCTCTGCCAGTGTGGACCCTTATCCAGAGGCTGAGGGATGCTCAACTGCAGAGCAGAGCATGCCAAGAGGGTGTTTTTCCTCTGCTTTTGCTCAGGCTCGGCTGATTTGGAGGGCTGGAGGGAGGCTGCCAAATGGAGTGGGGACCAGGTTTGGCCCCGCATGCCTCCCCCACCATCCCTTCTTCCTTGTTCTCTTGCAGTCATCGGAAAACAGCCCCCTGGGGAACTTCTTGAAGGGCTTCATTGATGTGCCATCCTGCCACGTCGGTGAGTGTTCCCGCAATGTCCCCGCTGCAGCTGTGGGAGCCCACTGGGATGGCGCACACCCTGTGCTGAAGCTCAGTGCTGTGAGCTGAGGCTCCCCAATCTCGTTGCTCAATTGCCAGCCAGGCTTGTGTGTGGCACAATATGCCAGGGAGCAACATGGGGCTGGGTTCAGAGGGATTTGGCTGATTTGGGGGGAATTCAGAGGAATTTGGAGGTCCTAATGATTCTGGGGACATTTACCCCTGGCTCAAAGGACAATGCATTTCAGCGTGGAAAGCTGAAACCACACATTAGAAACATGAGATCCTCATAGGAGGAGGACCCCAATGGCTGGTGGGGTGGCAGGAGGGGCTGGTGGGGGCCTGGGAGCGGGACTGCTGAAGTTCCATTTGCTCCACAGAGCCATCCGTTGGGAATGTCTTCAAGTAAAGCCCCCCTCTGGTGTCCTTATAGTTATCTCCAAAGACGGGAGGAGCTCCAAACCATTTGTCTTCACCATCCATTCCCAGCAGATGTCCCACGCAGCCCAGTCGCTGGACGTGGCCGCTGACACACAGGAGGAACTCAGCGAGTGGGTGGCCAAGATCCGAGAGGCCACGCAGAACGCCGACGCCAGGGTGAGCGGGATAGGGATGCAGGGGATGGGGGTGGATGTTCCCATCCCCCAGTGGATGTTCCCCAATGTCTCCAAAGGAGGAGGCTGGGGGGAGACTTTCAGTTCCTGTTTTCCCTTGTGCAGATGCAAGAGGGGAAGATCATGGAGCGGAGAAAGAAGATTGCACTGGAGCTCTCTGAGCTGGTTGTGTATTGCCGCCCAGTGCCGTTCGATGAGGACAGTAAGAGCTGGAGAAGGGCGGTGATGGGATGAGCATGGGAAGAGATGGGTGGAGGGAACCAAGCAGTCATGGTAGGCCACCCCCAGGCCACCAGGGAGCTCCATGTCCTTCATTGATGGCCACCTTGGTGCTTTCAGAGATTGGCACGGACAAGGCGTGCTACCGGGATATGTCTTCCTTCCCGGAGACCAAGGCAGAGAAGTACGCCAACCGCAGCAAGGGCAAGAAGTTCCTGCAGTACAACCGGCGCCAGCTCAGCCGCATCTACCCCAAAGGGCAGCGTCTGGACTCCTCCAACTACGACCCGTTGCCCATGTGGATCTGCGGTAGCCAACTCGTGGCCCTCAACTTCCAGACGCCCGGTAAATCCTGCTCCTGGTGTGGTTGCTGGGCTCATCCCCACAGGTCACCCCAAATTCCCCATTCCCAGTGGCTCTGCCCTGGGTCCTGTTGCTGGAGGTGGTTTGGATGATCTGTCCAATCTTTGTCCTCATCCCAATGGGGACATCTCCATGCAATTCTTGGGTGCTTCATGCAGAACCCAGCTGCATGCCTTCTACAACCAGGGTTGGGGGCTCTTAGCAGGGGGTTTTCCAGGGCAGGACCTCCAGGAGGTCCCTGAGCTCCACGGCTCAGAGCTGCTCTATCCCCATGGCCACAGACAAGCCGATGCAACTGAACCAGGCACTCTTCATGCTCAGTGGTCGCAGCGGCTACGTCCTGCAGCCTGATGTCATGAGGGATGAGACTTTTGACCCCTTTGACAAGAACAGCTTGAAGATTGTGGAGCCCATCACGGTCCAGCTGCAGGCAAGTGAGCGAGGACAGCAAGTCCACCTTGAGGTGGTCACCATCAAGATGGGGACTTGCTTCTTCCTTGGTTTTGGGTCAACTAGGGGTGGTCTGTCCATATTTGACACATAATTGCTCCATGGAATTTGTTACCCCATGATCTCTTGGGTTTGCTGTTTTTTCTCTGCATAAGGCGTCATTTTTCCCAAGGGACAACCCCACAATTGTACAGAGCTGAGCCTAACCTAAGCAAGAGTGAGGTGGAGGGTAAAGTAGATAAAACAAGCCGAGAAGAACCTTACTCAACCCTTAGGTAATTTTGGTGTTACAGCTGGAATGGGTTGGTTCGTAGGCATCTGAATCTTGAGCATGGCATGGATCCAGCAAAAGTTTTTTTAAATAATTTCTTCGATACAGCTAAAATCAAGCTAAAACCAGTCCAAAATCATAAATAAGGTGTGGTGTGGCTAATCATGGCCATGAAGCTTTTGGCAAGCCCAAACCAACTGAGCCATGGGGCTGGCTTGAGGAGTCCTTACTTGCCCAGCGTAGCTGGAACTCACCCTTCTCTTCCTTCTCTTTGTCCCACAGATCCTGGGTGCCCGGCACCTGCCCAAGAATGGGAGGAGCATCGTGTGCCCCTTCGTAGAGGTGGAGGTGTGCGGCTCCGAGTATGACAACAGCAAGAACAAGACGGACGTCGTAGGTGAGGGTCCACATGGGTGACATTCCCACCTAGCCTCTGTACCCTGGGGGCACATGGGGATGCTGGGACAGCCCTAACTATGCCCTTTGGGATCCTCTTGGACATGTGGGTGACAGGGCTGGGTTTCATGGAAGAGGGAAGAGGACAGGCATCTCCCACTAATGTGCTGGTGCTATGCTGGTGATGTCCATGCATCTAGCCCCACTCTGACCCTCCTCATTCTCTCCTCGCCTCCCCAGCTGACAATGGCTTCAACCCCGTCTGGCTCTTCAAACAGTTTGTCTTCGACATCAACAACCCTGAGTTTGCCTTCCTCCGCTTTGTGGTGTATGAGGAGGACATGTTCAGCGACCCCAACTTCTTGGCACAAGCCACCTTCCCTGTCAAGGGCCTCAAAACAGGTATGGTACTTCCATCCGTGACACCATCATCATCATCATCGAATCATAGAATGGTTTGGGTTGGAAGGGACCTTTAAAGATCATCTAGTCCAACCCCCTGCAATCATCATCATCATCATCTCCTCGGGGAACTGGCCACGGCAAGGGGCTTGGACTCTGCCGTGGGGCTGAGTTCATGTCATGGTGTTGTGTCCAGGCTACCGGTCGGTGCCGTTGAAGAACAGCTACACGGAGGACCTGGAGCTTGCCTCTCTCCTCGTCCACATTGAGATCATCAATGCCAAGGCAGGTGGCCCAGGCGGCTTGGGGAACCACGTGCCTCAGTTTCCCCTGCCAGAGCAAGAGGGAACAGCAGCCTGGGGTGTCCTATCCACCCCACCAGCCTCATACCCTTGTGTCAGAGCAGGAGGAAGATGAGGAGAACCTCTACTCGTCCATCCAGCAGCTACGGGACCGTGCCAGCGAGCTCTCCAGCCAGGTCTCTAGCTATGAGCGCACCAATGGCTGTGACTCCCGCTACCAGCAGCGCCTCGACGAGCTACGGGCAGCCCAGGAGCGGCTCATGGAGCTCACTGAAGTCCGCAACCGCAAGTGAGTGTCCCCTCCCTGTGGCTTTGGGACATCCCCCTTGGGAGGGTCCCTGAGTCCACCACCCTGCTCCCCACCAGGTTGATGGAGAAGAAGAAGAGGGACCGGCAAATGGTCACCAAACGCAGCTGAGTTGGCTGGACACAAGCCCGCCAGCCCACTGCAGGCCTCCCCAGCCACCTCCTCTCCTGCTGCAGAGGGAGGTGGGGTGGCCGGATCTGGACCCTCCCATACCTGGGGCTGGGTGATACCAGCGTGACAAATTTGGGGACGAAAGGGGACTTTGGATAGCTCTGCCTGTGACGTTTCTCTGCTGGGGCAAGGTGGGAGGCGGGATGCTCTGGAGTAAATCCTGAGCGACTTCGGCTTCATCCCATGTCCCCTGGGGCTCGTGACCACATCCCTGTCCCCGCAGGGTGGCCCCCACGGCTCTTCTTCACCCTGCATCCTCCGTGTCCCAACACCCTGTGGCGGAGGGGGGGGTGATGAGCCCTGTGGCTCATGGGGAAACTGAGGCACAGGTGCCCAGCTGGCCCAGGATGGGGCAAGACTGGCCACCTCCATCCTGGGGACAGAACCAACTGGCAGAGAGGCACCAGGATGGGGATGCAGGGGACACTTGGGGGGGAGGAAGGGGGCATTTTGACCCCCGCTATAAATATCTGTATTTTCTTCTTTTATCCAGCGTGTACATATGGCAAGGGGTGGGGGGGTGTCTGTACCAGCTGCAGTATTAGGGCACAGGGGACCCAAAAATGTCCGGAGAGGCCCCCAGCATGGGAACAC